GAACGTCCGCAGGTGGTGAAGGTGGGCACCAACATATCCTCTACCCTGACTCTAAACACTGGAGCCCCCCAAGGCTGCGTGCTTAGTCCTGTCCTCTACACCTTATTTACCCATGACTGTGTCACCAGGCATAACTCAAACTCCATGATCAAGTTTGTAGACGATACAACAGTCATTGGCCTGATCACAGATGGTGAGGAGTTTGCATACAGGGAGGAGTTTGAAACCCTGGCAGTATGGTGCCAGGAGAACAACCTCTCTCTGAACATCAGTAAGACTAAAGAGATGACTGTGGACTATAGGAAACATCAGGGTGGAGACCACACACCTATTCACATCAATGGGACTGCAGTGGAGAGGGTGAGCAGCTTTAAGTTCCTGGGAGTTAACATCTCAGAGGATTTAACCTGGACCCACCACACCAACACCGTGGTCAAGACAGCACGGCAGCGCCTGTTCTTTCTCCGCAGGCTAAAGAAGTTCAGCATGCCATCACATATTCAGGCCAACTTCTACAGGTGCACTATTGAAAGCATCCTGACTGGTTGCATTACTGCCTGGAATGGGAGCTGCTCCGCACGTACTGTATTGCAGAGGGTGGTGAAGTCAGCGCAGCTTATCACCAGCTGTAAGCTACCAAGCATCAAGGAGATCTACTCAGCTAGATGTCTGAAGAAGGCCAGGTCCATTCTCAAGGACCCCAGTCATCCCAGTCACAAACTGTTTTCCCTCCTACCGTCTGGTAAACGGTACCAAAGAATTCGGTCCAAGTCCAACAGACTACGGAACAGCTTCTACTTCCAGGCAATAAGACTGCTAAATAGCCAACCTGTAGCTCCTAAGCAAATCACCTGTAATGGCTACATGGACACTGCACTACATGTATATATTGCATACACCATGGACACATAACAGCTCTACTCACATTGAGTTTTATTCAATTTCAAAACTGTAACCTCAATTTTGTGATTTTTGTGATTCTTGTAATTTTTGTGAGCTCGCAGAAAAAGACATTTCATTGCAAGCAACTACTGCTGTACGCTGTATTGTTGTGCATTTGATAAATAAACTTTGATTTGATTTGAAAAATTTGCTTTTTATTAGGCCAAAAGCAGATACATGTATTGCATATAATGCAGGAACAAAACAATATACAGTATACCACTGAAGTGGTAGAAAATAAGATTAGTTTTAGTTTTCATCGAGAACAAAAATACAAATGCAAAAATAATTTGATTCATTTTAATATATTTATGTTTAGATTTTTTAAATTACATTTAAACCTGAAAAAAATACAAATTTAAGATTACCCAAAAACATCATTTGGTTTTAATGCTAAGTGAAATATTTTATACTTTTATATTTTTTTTATCTTTACACTGACCTTTTCCCCTACTGCCAACTTTCTGCAAACTAGTAAAATTCTTCTGCTAATCTATTAAATTAGGACAAATTAATACGTGTAAATTTCAGAAAACATGTCCAGGTACTGTAGATGTTAATTGTCATTTCAATGTGACAGGTCAATCAGAAAAAAATAAAAGCACAACAGTGTATTAATTCAATTGTGACTAAAGCAGAAAATATGTTTTTACTTTGTCACACCCTCTGCAGCCATAGGGCACTCCTACTCTGCCCTGTCTCTTGTTTCCGGTGCTTTGCTGTCCTTCCGGTGTTTCTCTCTCTCTGGGGGTATATATTTCGGGGCTTTCATTTGCCTTCGCTCAGCATTGACGTTCGGAAGTCCTGAGACCCGCCTAGCACCAGGTCACCCAAATTCTGCTACCTGAGAGCACAGGTTTCTATACAGCATTTCCTGAACAGCTCAGCCCGGGCTAACCCCCGTCTCGCCGCTACGCATCGGGTCTTTTACACTCTCCTGCCATTCCACGGTTCGTCCCTTCCCACATCCGTGACAGAATTAATTTGGGTAGGCCAAAATAAATTTAGGCACATCTCAACATTCTCCATCACCAAGCCTGCTTCTGAACTTTCCATTTTGAAGCACAATATTTTAACTATCACAGACTGAACAAAAATGAGTGTGGGGACTACAAGTGTCATGGACTATATTGACTTTAATTCTGCACCGAATGATCAGCGTCTCCATAATGTTTGATGTGTCCTTTGGTAGACACCTAGCCGAGCTCCAGACCGAGAAGGCTGCGCTCCAGAATAGGAACAGACAGTGCATCATCATATACGCAGCCAGTCCATCAATGAGCCCCAGGCAGCTAGCTCAGAGAAAAAGTCCTGATCCTTGCTAGGGGGGATTCACCCAGTCAGGAGGACTCAGATCATTGGAGAGGGAAGAATTTAAGGGGACACAGATTTCTGCCTTAGACATACATTAGAACTCAGACACAAGAGACTCTAGATTAGCAGAGGAAGGCCTTAGCATTGTCTTCCTCCCCTTACTCAAAACTGGGCCCAGAGGCAAACAGGGTGGAGGGGGGACATGACGGACCTTATAGTTCAGGATGGCTGGAACCGAAGAGGATATCAGAGCACAGAAGAACAAAGTTTATTCACTGTGATAGATGGAAGCACACCATGTCTCTTATTGAAGCTGGTTTTAGAGATAGGAGATACTGGACTGCTCCCACAGAGACTGGATTTTAATTAAAGGTTTATTCCATGCCATTCCATTTCGGGTGTGGAGCTTCATCGGGTGTGTCACACCTGAGGCTGAAATGTTGTGTTTCTTTTCCTCTCTTTTCAGCATGGAATAAAGCTTTATTGTGTGTAGGATGACTGTCTTGTTTATGTAAAGTATTAAAAGTGATTCCAATACAAAGTCCTTACTAATTGCCCAGTTAACTTGTAGGGTTTTGGATGATTTGTGCTTGTCTTGTAATCAGATTGATCAGAGTTACTGTATATACTTGCATTCTGATGCTAAATTTAATTTGATTTAATTTGTATAAGCAGTCATGTCAAGGATTTATTTTAAAAACCCTCCATAAACATGTATGATTTCACATTCCTAAGCCTGTAATATGATGTTAATATAATAATAATTTAAAAATTTATGCAAGTGAAAATGACTGAGGAATGAGGGTTTAGAGGGTCTTTAATTATTCCTCTCCATTTGGTTGCAGAATCATTTGCTGATACATATAATGACACTGATTTTTATAATTAGTATAGTACTTGGTGTACTTCACCTACAAAACACCTACAGTAACTAGGTAACTAAGGAATGGGAGGTTTGCCATCTTGAATATCTTGAATATCCTTTTCTGGAGTTCGGTGGAAATTTGAAGTGCTGTGTTCTTTAAATCAGCCAAAAGGGAGCTTCAGATTGTGAAAGGAACCCTCATATAAAATATTTTTTTTTAGTTTGTAACACGTATCTAGAAATTAAAAAAGGACGAAAACATCTGGTTCAGTTGTGTTTTTCTGCTTAGCACTTCCAATGTGGCGTACGCACCACGTCATTGTATGATTTATTCGGGAAGAAACGTGCTTGGACCCCCCAGGACAACCGCCCTCCCCAGCAATTTTCTCTTAGGACCACATAAGGATGAAGATCTTTGTCTTCCCAAAATTTTGACACCCACTGAAAATTCCTGTATTTCTTCGAGTGATCAAACTTTGAAGAATAGAACCCGATCCAGGCATTATGGAGCCGCTCCCTCCAATTTGTAAAGGACTTGTCGATGTAGAGCCTAGCACAAGCATAGCCATTCTCGGTGTAGAGTTGTAGATAAGCCTTGAAACCTGGGATTTGTTTTGGGGTTTCCCTACAAGCCTCATCCAGCTCCTCCCCATTGAACAGTGAATGTGTCTTGTCTTTGAGCAGACGTATTTGCAGACCAGGATTCATGTCCACTGCAGTTTGGAAGACACCTCTTTGTGTGCTTACATTGTGCCACGCCAGGCGATCGCCATTGCTTTTGCTGTCGTCTGCGTACAGGCCCACCCACTGGTCATTCTCGGCCCAGGGCAGGTGGCTCCAAGTCATTTGTGCATGCCCATTGCTGTTTGTCTTGACTTCCAGCCTTGTGCCCTTAGAGAACAATTCCGAACATGTTTCACTTTCAGAGTCTTTCCCCGTGGCACAGTAACGGAGATCAAAACTGAAAAAGTTCAAAAAACTTTCCAAGGTGTGGGACTGTATTTCAGCAAGGAGAGCATTGCTGAGCTGTTGAATGGCAGCTGGGGAAGATATGTCGATAAGATAGACTGCCTTTACTCCCCAGTCAGTAGAATCAAAGGAGATTATCAAACGCTCACAGTTTGCCTTCTGAAGCTCCGACACTGAGAAGTACTGACTCCTGACATAGAGATAATCCTGTTTGATGTACCAAGGTAAGGCCCGGGCCCCTGGGTGATTCTGGGTGTCCAGGTCTCCCACAACTTGATAAGAAAGGCTGTTGTTCAGGAGTGGTAGTCGGAGCTGGTGATTATGGTACTCATGGAAACCAAAAAGCCTCATTCGAGGATCAAAAACCATGTCCACATTTTCATTGTCTGTCTTTATTGCACTCTGTACAAACCAGTGCAGGAGCTTCAAGCCATGGCGAGGAAAATGGTGTCCAAACTCCGTCTGGTTTAACTCTTCCAAAGTGGTGAGAGTTGGGATCTCATGAGCAGTTGAAAACCAGGCGAGGGACAGCAAAAAAACTAAAACAAGGAAAACATAGTGCTGCACCATTCTGTGGGAATCTGAGAAAAGGAATAAAATACAATCATATTCAAGGCTCACAATGAACCTATTTTGTATGGTCAATAAAATGTTGTCAGAACAGCAAATATTAGCTGCTAATACTGTATATGTTGAGTGAGCAAAATACGTAACTAGGTAAAATAGATATTGTTTTATTAATTTCTTATTTTATTTCCCACAATTAGGATATAACGTCCTTCAGAATTAATACCCTGAAATCAGTCTATTATTCAGTCATAAATAAATACGTACAGTGTATATATATATACTGTTATTATTCAGTATAAATCAGTTTGCATATTATGGTTTTAATAATGTTAATCAAGAAAGTGTGTTGTGTATCTGGTAGAAGATCCTGCAGATTTCCTTGCAGCTGAAGTTTTTATCTATACATTTAGAGGCATGTATCATTTTGCTACAGTATACCCATTTGATCTGTGATGACCAGTTGTGATTTTTCCACTCCTTGGCTTGTAGGAAATGGTCCAATCTGTACTGATCCTCTGGTATATGGAACTGAGTTTCCTTGACAGGATATAAAAAAAACAATTGACTCAAGGCGGGTATGTCTGTTCGTTACAGAAGCAAAGGCATTTTTCCAAGACATTTTCAAATATGTACACATCCCCCATTTTACTATTTTTTTATCCCAATAGAAAAATGGAAAAATCCCACTAAATCCTAAACTAAAATGTCTTTTAATTTATTTATTTCAGAATAGGTGGCTGTCAAGTACAGTATGTTATTAATATTATTGACTAACATATTCTCTAATGAAATGCAATGTCACATGTACCTAGTTCTCCTTCCCAAGATGATGTACTGTAGACAGTAAACATATTAGGAGAGTGTAGCCCAAATTATTATTCGAGGACATTGTCGAAACATTAGTCATACATATCAAAAACAAACAGAAAGCAAAAAGTATAGAGACAGAATCACAGAGGTGAGGTACACTGACACAACCATGATCGCAAACCACAACGTTGGTGCTCCTTCCCAGAATGTTTTCCTTTTATTCCTTAAGAAACTATGCATTAAGGAAAAATATCCCTACAACTTGCATCATCTTGACCACCTGACTAGCCCAGATGCACCTTATGGAACTGCAATTTTAACCACCTTCAGACTAAATTAAAATAATTCACCACCTGTTAACTGGGTCAGGCTGTAGCTTTCAATAGAAGTCACACTTGACACACTGTTTGTCTAATGACAAAATCAGCTTAGACCGGTGTCAGATACAAAGCGTACATCAGTGCACATTTTGCACCTAATAGAGAAATCAGGGGTTAATGAAGTGAGCTGATTTATCTCATAATAAACAAACTGAGACAGAAAGCATCGAACTCCCAGGGAACTAGAAAATTAGACAATGAGACAAACTAGCATCTTAGTATAGTAGATGACCCCTCCTCCTCCTACTGTATAAACTCTTTGCCCTCCTACCACCTGGGAAAAGATATCGCAGTGTACGCGCTAGCTCAACCAGACTCGGTAACAGCTTCTTTCCGCAGGCTGTCCGGCTCCTCAACACTCTGGAATCACTCCAATTCCAGAAACAGGGTTTAAATCCCCACAGTGTGTTGTGTACATTGTATTATGTATTTACCTTGTAATTTGCACATCTGCACTTTGCACAATGCGTATCCTGTCTACAATGTCTATGTCAGTGTCCTGTCTGTCCCATCTGTATTTGCACCGTGGACAAGGAGGAACAATATTTCGTAACACTGTATACTTGTATATGGCTGGAATGACAAATAAACATGAACTTGAACTTACTTTTTTACCTTATTGCTACTGAACTCTTGGTAATGTGATTTAGAGAACTAAAATACAGAAAATTGACAACTGATGCTGAAAACGTGACTTGACTGTTTTTTTAAGTTAATCTGACCAATTGGCTTCCTGCAACGTGTCAGGTGACAGAACAGCAGCCCATTCCCCCAGAGGAATCTGGGGAATGTGGTCCTTATGAGGTGGTGCTCTCACAGTATCCAACAAAAATAAAATGCAATAAAACACAACTTTTTACTCCATCAGTGCTTCCTTGTAGAACAACTAGAAATGCATGGTGACAAGGAGCTAGGGTCTTATTGGATAGCTGTGGCACTTACCTCATACTGACCATTGGTACTGTTGTCAAGGCAGACTCCCAAGAAGTAAGTACTGGATTTTCCTTAAATGCAGTAATTACCTCTTGGTGAAAATAAGTGACTTTTTACATGCTGATTAACAAGAAACAGCAACTACTGTATGCACCTGAGTCACCAAACTACCATAAAGCATAATGAACTAATCCTTTTGTTTTTCTTTTTTAGTATCAGCAATAACCATATTTTTTTTCTATTTAGGAGGCATTTCTCAAATCATAAACCTTTAAAAAGCATTATACTATTCTTTGCAATTTGACAAGAGATTACTACTTTTGTTCATTTGCACCACTTTGAAGGATTGATTAAAATACTGTAAATTGAAATGGAGCTTCAAGCTACACATATTTTTGATTTGAAGACAAACTTAAAAAAAATAGGAAAGTTATTTTAAGATAAGAGAGAGATTATTTTGTTTTATGAAGCTTTATAAACCTCACACCACAGCTGAAGAAACATTAGACATTGGTTTGAACACAGACAGGGTACCAGCTTTGACAACTGAATCTGGAGGTGTTGTTACAAACGTAAAATAAAGTCATTTTGGAGGCCCCGTTCACACAGCAGTGTATAAACAGTATGTACCACAGCCAAAAATAAAATAATAATTGCTGACCTCAAAGTTGTTTTACATTAGGCAGTTCAGCAAGGTCAGCTTTGTAAAAGCATGGTCTCTCATTTCATGTTTGTTTTCTCTCCTGTATATCCAAAGCTAGCACATATTGTTAAAAAGTCAAACATAAAAATTCCAATGATCAATAAAACAGATGTTTCAATATATTTATTATTGAAGAGTTATAAAGTAGATCAGCAGTTTCCAAAATGCCAGACTGAACACCACAGCCATCAAACTACTTTTGTTGAAGTACAACTGTCATTAAGGCAGCACAGATTGAAAACACTTGTACTTAAACAAAAGTATCTCTATGTTTGTGGTGTTCAATCTGGCATTTTGGAAACTGCTGATCAACAGTCGGCACACACATACAAAAAGAAAGAATTCCATGTTAACTGTGTAAACAAAGGTTTGTGGATCAAGGGGCAAATTCCCTGAGTTTGTTGAGAAGGTTTTATGCAGTCTGTCAATATTTGTGGTTCTGTACTTATTCGAAATAGGGGTATGATTCATTCTACAAGTCAAAAAAAGTATTGAAGTACAATTAGCTGCAGCTCAGAGTGACCCAGACATTTAGAAAACAACTGCTCTCTCTTCTTCACTCTATATCCAGTTCCTAATATCTGGTCAGCATTTGTCCACTCACTTCATTCATTTAGAGTTGACTCACTCCATGAAATTGGCTCCATTAGATTGTACATTAGGAGATCATGCTTTTTCAGTGTTAGCTTCTCATTTTGTAATATTCTTTCTGACCGTCTTAGAAATGTGAGAAATTTCTGTTGGTATTAAATCTTGCCTGGAAACATGTACATGGCCTTTAATTCTTAATCTTTTTCTTCCAATTTCTCTAAATTGTAAATGATCTTTCTTAATTGTGTATTCTCTGTACAATAAACATGTTTACAGACAAAGGGAAGCCATTCAGCCCATCTGGCACTTGTGTCATAGAACAGGATTTGGTCAACAGAAAAGTGCCCCTTAACAGAAAAGGCGAAAGAGTTCTGAGACTTTGAAAAACTGGAAATAAAAAGAATATTTTTAGTCAATAGAAGAAAATTAATCTGGGGACCCTTATTTGCATCTTAGAAGTGATGTACTGGCCATCTATGTGCAGGGTCATGTTGAGAAATATTATGAATGTTAGACCTGCCCGCATCACCAATTTGAAGCCAGCAGGTCTGTTCCAGTCTACCACAGAAGAAACACCTGGTATCACGCTCTCTACAGCTAGAGGGCGCTCCTTCTCTGTCCTGTTCCTAGTTTCCCTGTGCTTTTCTTGTCCTTCTGGTGTTTCTTTGTGTGGGGCCATATATTTCCAGGTCACCTTTTCCTCCTCACTCAGCATTGAGGTTTTGGATGTCTTGAGACCCGTCCAGCACCAGGTCGTCTCTTCCGTGGCCTACGGGCATTGGTTTCTACCCGCCATCGTCTGACCTCCTGAGCTTGGGCTATGCCCCTTCTTGCCGCTACGCATAGGGTCTCTACAGCTCTCCTGATCATTTCATGGCTTGCCCTTTCCGACATCCGTGACACCCGGATTGGTGCTAGGGATCAAGCAAAGCAACTCTAGCTTGGTTGGGCAACTCATGCTTCTTGTATTTGCAGAGGGAAGGAGAGTCTGATCAAGAATTCATTGCAGAGAACACAGCTAAGAAAGAAACTGTTTGGTACAAATTATGAAATGGCTTTGTCTGCATAGTGTGTTTCACTTTGTGTATATATTGCCTTTCTAATTGTGAATTCTATTTCTTGTCATCTGATCAATTAATCTCTGTATAATTGTGAATTTCTACTTTTTGTTATCTTATCCATTCATCTCTGTATCTTATTTCACATATTTAATTTCATAAAAAATGAAACATCCTGAGCTACATCCTAACCCAGCAAGTAACGGTTGGAAAGCATGTTACAACCTGGATGGGACTCCAGTCCATTACAGGATACACATAGACACACAAGCCAGGGACAAATGTAAAGAAGTCAATAACCTGTGTGTCTTTGAACTGTTGTAGAAAACCAGAGAACCCAGAGGAAACCCACACAAACACAGTGAGAACATACAGCACAAACTCCACACAGATTGTACCCCAGGTCCAGAACTGAACCCAGAGCCCCAGGGCTGGGAAGCAGAAATGCTGAACACCATGCCCCCCTGCTGACCTCCTGTACCATAAAGCAAACTAAATAATTACTTTCTAAGTGACAGTAAATCGTTAAAAGAAAAACTCCTAGCACTTCTGCTCACCAAGGAAATCTTGTCTATTTTTTACTTCTGTCTTAATCAAACAAATGATTCTGGATCAACCCTTTGATTCTGGATTAAAATAAACACAAATAACAATGTTCTATGCTAGAATACAACATCCGTTGTCATTAACATTGTTAGCAAACAGCAACTCATTATTGAAGACGACCACAACCAAACCGTAATATTTACCAGTCTGTTCAGTGCAAGCTAATCCGTCTGTAGTGATCCTGCATTTCCAAATACAGGAGTCAGTCCAGTGCACTGCAGTTTAGGCCACAGTCCAGCCACTCAAAGGAGAGGTCACATGTGACTCTGTTCTTTGACCATTGCATTTTGTAATGTAAATACTGCTTAACTTTTAACATTTAAAATCCCAATTAGAGAAATGATCTTTTTCTATCATTTTAAACTATAATCATATAGGTATTTCATTTATTTCAATAAATAATTTAAAATTGCCTCTCTGTTCACAAACCTACTTAATACACATATACAGTAAACTAAATGTGCACAAGCACTTAATGTGGAATTTTCTGTACTAGTATTAAAATGATTAGATGCTCATTTTTCATTGTATTTTGGACAATTGTCATAACAGTGAAAATTCAGCAATATCTTCCACAGTAAGTCTACATCCATGCAAATCAAAATACATTTTTGGTGTTTTTTTGTCACTATAGCCATTACTCCCTTCAGCAGGTAGAAATTAAATGTTTTTTTTCTCTTGGACTAGGAAATGCTAGTTTAAAATACAAATTAGGTTATTAAGAATGGAATGTGTAAAGGGAAATGCAGAAATAAAATGTACCGATCCTGTACCATGATCAATACATATGCTGTGTAACATTAAATCAACCATTTCAAAAGCATGTAATGATATGTGTGTCAAACACGTGGACTTGTGTTTTATTGCAGTACCTACAGTACACATAATGTAATGATGTGTTTACAATGTAATATAAGGAAGGAGTCAGAAAGTAGAAACAAGGAGATGCAGATGACAAGAATTGGCTCATTAGGGAGAAAAAAATGACAGTTAAAAATAATGAGAGAAATTGATTTGAAAGGTTTTTTTGCTGTTCTAGGAGAGGGAGGTGGTGAAAACAGCTGCTGAAGCAAAACAGGGAAAGACACTCCGACCAGGTGCAATCCTACTAAAGAAAAGACTGGTGAGACCTGCAGGAGGGTTATTTTGTACAGTACCTTAGTCATCCATCCATTCATTTTCTAGCTGCTTCTTCCAATTCAGGCTCGCAGGGGAATCAGAGCCTATCCCAGCAAGCAATGGGCACAAGGCAAAGTACACCCTGGACAGGCGCCAGTCCATCATAGTACTTTATTTATCTAGTTTATCTTAACCTGTGATTGGTAAGCATCCAATACAAAGTGTATTACTTTTTCTTTAGTATGATGAATAGCTGCTGTCTCTCCTTCAATAAACGGCACATTAGTGCTATGTTTCTTGATGTGATGGTAGGATTTCTGAACCAGGGTGATCACAGTAGTGCTGAAATCTAGAAACCTCTTGACAGACCTGTAGACCCATTTGTGCAGCGATTATCTTGAATGCAAGATGGAGAGCTACGTACCCATCAACAGCTCCAAGCCCAACACCAAGAATACACAGATACTCTTGCAGTCAATCAAGCTGCTGACAGGGTCAATCTTACAGAGTTCCTACTATCAAGCGGTCATGTCAGATCCGCACTCTGAAAGCACAAGATGAGTCTAGATGATGACCTAGAGGTCTTTCTTGAGGTATCTGTAAAAACTGCCAGGGCGTTGTGTGGTCAAGTAAAGAATGGATTTGCAGTTGGCACATTTCCTAACGGGTGAACTACAGAAGGCTGTCCATAATGTACCAGCCTGTCAAATGAGAAATTGTGAGATGCTCAATTGAACACGAAGGAGAAACTTCATCTAAATGAAGAAGGGAATTGAAAGAGATTTCTGTGGGAGGGGGGACATGTTGGAGGTGTGGACAGATAGGCCGGGTCTATACGGATTACCCTTAGATGGAGTTTAGCAGTGGAACTCAGCTGTCTGATCAACCCTCCTCTGGTTCAGCAGAAAAGTACACAATACTGTACTTGATTCCTATAGTAACCAATGCAAACAAAAAGATGTATGACTAAAACAAAATATGAGCCTTTAAGGTATAGTACATGTAAATAAGTAAGTTAATCTCTAGTTTCATTACCACAATTAGATTAGAATTAGATGAAGTTCTCTGAAAAGAATGAAAGGATCATGCTGAAAAACATGTAATTTGTGTCTTGAACTGAGATCCGATTTAAGTACAGTATATTGTAATGTGAGTGACTGGGGTCAACACCGTGATATACAACTAAAAAACTTTAATGTACAGAAAGAGCAATTCCCAAACTAGTAACTCTAAAATAAAAGGGAAAACCTTTTTAGGGAAAACCTAGTTGTAACACAGTTCCTGTTACTTTACATTTCTTCGTTACCTTGGCAACTGCGTGGTTTCCCCCACCCCTCCTGGAGATATGCAGTCCTAACCCCAAGTGTCTCCCTGTAAAACGTCTACTTACTTTTAATCATTCATATGTTCTAATTCTGTTTTTAACATTTTTATTTTATGCATCAAACAACATACCGGAGCAAAACATGTATCTTTATAAACCTGCTTTGCCAGTTTTAAACTGACTTTGTCCCCTGCTGATTATTTTCTTTGTCTAACCAGAGGGTCACTGACATGCAAGGGAAAGCTGGTGCGGAGCTCAAGCCTTTGCCATCTTGTTCTGATGGCCAAAATGTGCCTCTCGAACATGATCAAACAGACAACCCCAAATGCAGAAAACTCCATGCACTCTTCTAACAGGGTTCAACGACAGGAATGACTCTGGTCCGGCATTGCAGCGGCCTCAGATCAATACCCCAGTTTAGAGATCTGTTCTTTAATTGTATCGAGGCTAAAAGGACGAGAATAAAAAGTCACATTCCTCGCGAAAATAAAAATTATGCCCTCGTCTGAGGGTCAAAGCGAATGAAAAAAAAAAGTTCAAAACACTCAGAAACAGATTGATATCTTTATTTTCTTACTACTCATCTTATTAAACAGAGGGCGTAGTCTTTTTTTAAAGCACTTTGTACCCTCGTAAACCAGGAACATGGAGGTGCAAGCTATGCTTTTGATGTGTAAGTATTTGGCGTATGCTAGTCCCTGTATTATGTTGCTGCAAAATATGAATATTAGTATTAATTAAATAAAACCAGAAACTAGATATTTTAAGCTTTTGGTTCTATCACCCTTCAGTACGTAACTGTAATATTATTTGAATTGTTATTTGAATTGTTTCGAATACAAGTTGGTTTGGATAACGTTAGTATCCTTAACAAGCTGTGATTTGATCTTTATGGTATACAAACAATTTTAAAAGTTTGAATAATCTGAAAAATGTTCTAAATCTGTGTGAATTAAAGGGTGCTAAGTGTTTTATGCTAGTCAAGTCACTCACCGAGGAACATGCCTCAGCCTTGTGGTCTTTATGGTTTTCCCTGCAACATGTTATCATTTTTAGGTGTTTTTTTAAACAGAAGGCTCATTAGAGTAAATTTTATTAGAATAGTTTACCAACCAAATCTCTGAAACAATGAGCTAAATCCATTTACTAGTACTATAATTCTAGAAAAATCTATGCAAACAGAGCATTTTGGTCATCCTTATCACTAACACTGTTACGTATATTAATCATAGTAATGTGCACTAAACGTGATTTTATTAATAGTCTTTCTCAAGATGATATCTTTATTATTTTTTTGTCCTAGATACTTGCATTTTCTCCACATTCCCTGTGATAGATAATAAGGGGTTGATGACTTTTAAATCAATTTTGTTGCACAGCAACAAACTGCAAGTTTAAAGTTCTCATAACATTTTCATCTTTTAAAAAAAATCTGGTTCCCGATTAGAAATGCTGAAATGCCAGCTGTGTGATCTTTCTTACAGACTTAAAAACAAATAACTAACATCACGAAATAACTTGTACAGAAATGTTTAATTGAATCGATCTGTAGTTTAGAAAACTGAATGTAAAACTGAATGAGGCAACTCAAACAGTTGTCAGGATGCTTTGTGATCTCCGACTTGCAGGTAAGAACCAAACAACTAGTGTTTTGAACACTGCTGAAATCAGATTAATTCCTATGGGAAAGGAGCATAACCAGGGATAAATCCACCCAAAATAATATTCACTTTTTAATCTTTTAACTTTAAACAGGTCTGAAGAACTTGTTCATATTTCATGTACATGCATTTACTATCATTTTTGTTACTTAGCTTATTTGTATACGTTTTGATTCAATAAGAATCATAACCATGTGCAGATTATAGTCCATGAGCATTTGTATAATTTACCGATATTAAGTTTTAATTTCCTCTTACTTGTCATTGTGTGCATAACGTATGTTATGTGATCTTTAGTTCAATGATCCATTCCATAGCAAACAGGGTCATGTGTATATCTATGTAAGGTAATTAGGAAATTACCTATTTACCTATCCTAAAAGGAGTTTGTGCGTTTCCTGGGATTTGGAATTCTGTTTTTTCTATGGTATTAAACTACCCTACATGAATTTTTAAAGCACTGTTTGAATTTGCTTTTACATCAGTAAACATTTGTTATTTCATAGCAGTTTCTGCTAAAAGGGCAAAGAGCTATGAAAAAAATAGTCTCTCTGAACCTAGGAAAAAATTATGCGATAAAAAAGGTGAGAAAACCTTTTACTCACAGTAACTGACAGTTTGCCTCTTTTATTGCAGCATAAGGTGAAATGGTATTATAGGACTTTTGAATGTGCTGGTTTCATTCCCTTTTGGTTAACTTCAAACAATCATGTTACCCAGCTGGGCTGACTGGAGCAATTAGGGTAAAGCATAATATCTAGCTAGCTAAAGGATACCAGAGAAGGATACACATTGCACACATGAACCCCTAAAAGACTGAGGGTATAGATCCCTAATCATTCCTCCCCACATCAGAGTTTAAGATCTCCACTCATCTACTAAGTCTACTGAGGCAGATCCAATATTAAACAATATGATAAGCCTCACATTAACTTGACAAAATGAACAAAATACTGTTTAAGACCAAAACCTGTAGATAATGGCTCAGTTACTCAAGTTAAAAAAAAGAACAGTTTTATTAAATCTTGTTTGAAATATACCTCAAGGTTGAGCTCTCAGCGTTAAGTAAGTTTTGCTGTTGTTAAGTTTGACATGCTTTTTAAAATCATGTGGTAACAACCTCCC